ACTCACATTATTATCACAGTTATCAATATCATCCTCAGAAGGAATCTTCGAGAAACAAAGATTCACTCTGCATTTCACTTTAATGAATGTAATGTAATTTCACTTTACATTAGCTCTTGGAAAACACATAAGAGTCTCTATCTTATAAACACTGACATTCATTTTTCAAGAGGTACTTCTAAATAAATGCATATGGTTCTTCTCTCAAAGGAAATACTGTCAATCCTGCTAACTGAATTTCACATTATGCAAGCAGTGGATTCCAGCTTGCTAGAGCATTACTAATAAACTTTGTTTCAAAAAGGAAGGAGGAAAATTCGTAAGGTAAAGTAAGTTACAGTTAAGAAAAAATAAGAACACTTCCTTAATTCATTGGTAACTTGGTTGTGGCTCTGGATCTGCAAGAAGATAGTACAGCCCTAGTAACACAACTTTTCTCCTTGTAGATTGATATATGGTGGATCAAATAATGTTAACATGTAACTTAAAATCTAATCAAACCAAATATTCTATGCTACTTATTAATCTGTATTTTTTAAAATAGCTAATACAGGGACTTCCCTGGTGGCACAGTGAATAAGACTCCATGCTCCCAATGCAGGGGGCCCCGGGTTCAATCCCTGGTCAAGGAACTAGATCCCACATGCATGCCACAACTAAGGAGCCCACGTGCTGCAACTAAGGAGCCCATGAGCCGCAACTAAGACCCAGTGCAACCAAATAAGTAAATAAATACATAGTTTTAAAAAGTCTTTATTGAATTTGTTACAATATTAAAAAAATAAAATAAAATAGCTAATACACAGACATGGTATGAAATTCCAAACACACAGACACACACAGACACAGACACAGACACACACATACACACACACACACATTCAGAAGACATAAAAAGGCTGGACAATAAGTCATGATAGTAACAATATAATTCATAAAATAAAACAAATATCCATGAGTTTATACTGTTAAAAATAACTGAATAAGTAAATGTAATTGAACTGAAGGCTCTTCCTTACAGTAGAAGTCTAATTATTATTAATTAGAACAATAGAAATAGAATTTATATGCAGGAAGAATTATAGAAATATAAAACTCTGGCAAACATAACAGTGGTAACTGTTTCAGGTAACAGCAATGAATGCTAAAATTAGTGGACAAAAGTGAGTAACAACACATAGTCTTGTAACAACACATATCTCCCCACAAGATAACACAGGTAACAACACATATCTCCCCACAAGATATTTATCAAGGTATTCAAAGTTCTTAAGGAAATATTACATTCAACAAATTTCAAAAAATTACAAATGCCCTGGATAGAATTTATTAATATTTATACTAAGCAATTGTTATCTGTTTAGTGTGATTTCAAAGATACCACAAAAGCCTCTTTCCTATTTGGTTTAAATGGTTTAAACAAAAAGTTGACCCATTGCCTGAAAGAGAGCCTCAGCTAACCCATAGCTTCATGTAATGGTAAGAAAAAGCCACTGAGATTTAGGAGTTGTTTGTGGTAACAAAAACTGGTTGATACAGAAATTCCTCTTTATCCAATCTTCCCCAAAATACCATCTGTTTTGGCAACTATAGACCTTACAGCTCATCAACAGGTACTAGAGTAAAGTCAAAACAGTAACTAAATCAAAACCATAATGACATATCACCTCACTCCAGTCAGAATGGCAATTATCAAAAAGACAAGAAATAACAAGTGTTGGTGAGGATGTGGAGAAAAGAGAACCCTCATACACTGTTGGTGGGAATGTAAATTGGTATAGCCATTACTGAAAACAGTATGAGGTTCTTTAAAAAAGTAAAGATAGAACTACCATATAATCCAGCAATTCTACTTCTGGATATTTATCTGAAGGAAACAAAAACCCTAATTTGAGAAGATATCTGCATCCCCCATATTCGTTGCAGCACTATTTATAATAGTCAAGACATGGAAGCAACCTAAGTGTCCACTGGTAGATGAATGGATAAAAAAAATGTGAGATATGTGTGTGTATGTATATATATACGTATACATACACACAATGGAATATTATTCAGCTCTAAAAAAGAAAGAAATCTTGCCATATGCCACAACATGAATGAACCTTGAAGGCATTATGCTACATGAAGTAAGTCAGAGAAAGACACATACTGTATGATCCCATTTGTATGTGGGATCTAAAAAACAACAAAAAACAAAACAAAAAATGGAACTCATAGATACAGAGAGCATATTGGTGGTTTCCAGAGGTGAGGGGTGGGTGAAATAGGTAAAGGTGGCCAAAAGTTATACATAACTTCCAGTTATTTATAAATAAGTCCTCAGGATGTAATATACAGCTTTGTGACTATAGTTAATACTGTAACGTATGTTTGGAAAGTTGCTAAGAGAGTAGATCTTAAAAGTTCACATCACAAGAAAAAAAATTTTATAACTATGTGTGGTGATAGATATTTTTCTTCTCATAAATTTTTATTTATTTATTTATTTTTGGGGGGCTGCATTGGGTCTTCATTGCTGTGCGTGGGCTTTCTCTAGTTGCGGCGAGCGGGGGCTACTCTTCATCGCGGCGCACAGGCTTCTCATTGCGGTGGCTTCTCTTATTGCAGAGCATGGGCTCTAGGTGCATGGGCTTCAGTAGTTGCGGCACGCAGGCTCAGTAGCTGTGGCTCACGGGCTCTAGAGCGCAGGCTCCGTAGCTGTGGCGCACAGGCTGAGCTACTCCACTGCATGTGGGATCTTCCTGGACCAGGGCTTGAACCCGTGTTCCCTGCATTGGCAGGTGGATTCTTAATCACTGTGCCACCAGGGAAGTCCCTTTCTTTTTTTTTTAGATTTTTTTTTTGATGTGGACCAATTTTAAAGTCATTATTGAATTTATTATAATATTGCTTCTGTTTTATGTTTTGTTTTTTTTGGCCACGAGGCATGTGGGATCTTAGCTCCCCGACAGGGATCGAACCCACACCCCCTGCATTGGAAGGCGAAGTCTTAACCACCAGACTGCCAGGGAAGTCCCGTGGTGATGGATATTAACTAGATTTATTGTTGTGATCATTTTGCAATATATCTTTTTTTTTTTTTTTTTTTTTTTT